AAAGGGCAGTGTTTTTCTATCACAGCAACATAGGAGGGGGAACTTCATCCCTCTGTTCTTCATGCTTGTGCTGGTAGCTGGTTTACCTTGGTGTTCAGTGATTCTGTGGTGTAGACGTTGTATGGTTCTTGCATGGCAATAGGAGAGTGTGTCTGCTGTCCAGCTGGACTTCTAACCTGGGGCTAGGTTCCTTGCTAACTGTAACAAATATTCTGGGGTCAGTTGCTATATTGGGATCCCAGTGAAAACTGTGATGTAAGAGAGGCCTGTAAAATTGCCAAACTTCTAAACAAATACAGGCTTGTGTTTGAGAACTTCATAGGAACTTTTTTTTGAGACAGTCCCAGAGGGACTGGGGGTGGAGTGATGGAAAATTGATTCAAAGCTCTGCTCAGCCAGCCAACAACTTGCAGGGTTGTTGTGAGGGCGAAACAGGGTAACCCGGGATGTGCCATCCTGAGCTCCTTAAAAGGCTCCTGTTGGCTTTCAAGTCAGAGCCCTGTTTATTTAATATATTTTAATCAATACTTATCTGTATATTTTTGGAGCTGCGGTGGCTCAAGTGGTTAAGACGCTGAACTGCAACTTGCAGGGTTGTTGTGAGGGCGAAACAGGGTAACCCGGGATGTGCCATCCTGAGCTCCTTAAAAGGCTCCTGTTGGCTTTCAAGTCAGAGCCCTGTATATTTAATATATTTTAATCAATATGTATCTGTATATTTAATATATTTTAATCCATACCTATCTATAAAAATGTGTCTGGCCTTCCCCCAATCATCTGGAGTCAAAATGTAAGATCCCCCCCTTTGCATTAGCTCTTGCAGTCCTGCTGCTGTCCCCCACCCCTTTTGCCTCCTGTAATGGTGCACAGTAAGGGCAGTCCTCATAAGCGTGTTCTTTTTCTCAGCCTTGGGCATGGTCCTCTGATCCTTGCAGCCACTGTTTGTCAGAAGAAACAAACTAGTAGTGAGGAATTGCTTGGTGTTACTTTTTATAGTGGTCTTATAAAGTTGCCTTTTGTGCAGGTAGAAGGGTACATAAAGATGCAGAGGGGTTCATGTACTCATATACAAAATGCTGCAGTTAGCAACTTGCCTGATTGTTCAGGGTGACTAGCCCTTCCTTCTGGATGAGGAGTAATTTGTCATATATCCTGTCCAAGCTAATCCTGTGATGCACAGGTACATACAGGTGAGCAGTTCAAAAGTTTTTACAATCAGATAAGATTTTGCTAATTGTTCTCTCCTTACCTGATGTGAGAGAGGAGACTGGTCTTTAGTAGCAGTTTTGAACAACTTTCTCATGAAGATGTACAGAAAGAATTTGATCCAAATGCCCGCCTTCAGACTTCATGCTCTCAGGTTTTAGAATGGTTGAAAATGCTGAAAGAAAAGTGCTGCCTTAGGAGGTCCATGTGGGACTTGAGCTAGCAGACTTCCTTGTTGGTTATGCAGCTGCACATTAGATGATATAATGTCCTGTGGTTCAGTCATGTTTAGGAAGGAGATGTCTAAAGGAGTTGGTCACTTTGGAAAATCTTACCCTCACCTGTTTGAAGAGCTCCCCATTTTCTCTGTCCTCTCTAAGACATTACTGCCTCATCTCTTGTTAAAAGTCACATGGGAAGGGGAACACTTTTTAAAAGTGCTAGTAACTTAGCATCGGGACAGTAGTCTATCAAAGTATTGTACTCCTTTTAAATATAATTTGGAAGTCCCAGTTTTTAAAATCTGGCCTTAAAATCTCATTCTCTTCTTTTGACATCACATAAGCCTTCCAGTTTACATTAGTGGGAGGAACATCACATTAGAGTAATAAGGTTTCAAAGAACGAAGCTTTTTAAAAAAAATCCAGGTAGATGGTTGGGGTTGCTGCTTTTACCCCTTAGGAAACCACCAAGAGCTTCTTTAGGAATGATATAGTGGAGCAGCCTGAATAGCCTAGACTAGCTGGAAGCTAAGCAGGGTCAGCTATGGTCAGTACTTGGATGGGAGACCACTAAGCAGGATGGGGTTGCTTCTCATCTTTTGCCTCCAAAACCCCATGGACTGGGGGGTCTCCGTGAGTCAGTTGCAACTTGACAGAAGTTAATTGGAACAGAATGTCAGAACTGCTGTCTTTACATTTTTCTCCTTGCTTCTCTTGTGTTAGAACTGCTTCTTCAGAATTAACATGTTTATTTGGGGAATGGTAAAGAATCTTTTTTTTCTCACTTACTAAGGCTTATCTTGCGTTGGTCATCTGCAGATCTGGCCTTGTGGCTAAACAAATACCATTGAAATGAGTTTTGTTCCATGGAATTGGAGCATTGAATCCAGAGTGAGTGAGGACATGTGACCGGCTTATGCTTTGTTGCCCTGTCATACACAGCTGCAGTTAGTGGAGGAGGGGGGAACTGTGCAAAAGGGGAGTGGATTATGGGAGCTGGTTGAAACAAAGAATATGTGTTTTAATCTTACACTCTTCATGTTTGTTGTTGTAAGGCAGACTTCCTGATGAAGACAGAAGCTCCTTATCTGGTCCTGTGTGAGCGACAGTTTCCTATGCCATGAGTAACACTACCCTGCCCACCTCCCCTGAGCCAACCAGCGACTCTTTGGTGGGCTATGTTCTGGTGCCGTTTTTCCTTATCACTGTGGTTGGGATCATCATGGCTGTGGTGAGTGGCTTGCTTTAGGCTGCGGCTTAACCTCTGCACCGTAGTACAATAAGAGAATCTGTGGCATTAACATTTTCTTGGAAGGAACAGGTTTCCATAGGCATCCCTGGTGGTCTGCTGAAGTAGAACGTGCTGGTTTTGGCTAAGGTGTTGGGACAGGTGATGCATGGTTGCAGCTGCGTGTCTGTTTTTAGCTTTGCTCCAGACAAGAAGAAGCCCCGTATGGGATGGCAGGACACCTGCAATTAAGGTTTCTGAGTTGCTTGACTTGTTGCTGCCTGTCTTGTGGTGAGAGGAACAGTTCAGAGGAGGTCAGGAGTTCCATGAAGAGAGACGGGAGAATGGCAAATGATTGTTTTAGGGAGACCTGCTTGGTTGGTTCCTGGGGTCTGATGAGGCTTGTTCCCTTCCTTCTAGGAGCACTTTCTTCCCAAATAATTTCTCTTCTGTTATGCAAGAGGGGCCTAGCTGAGCATCTCCTCCTCCATCTCTCCCCATCCCTGCATTGCAAGTAATTTCTATTTATGCAAAAGGTGAACTTAGGTGGGATAACTGTCTAGAACTGAATTTGATGGCAAAAGATGCATGGCAATAGCTTATGAAAACTTCACCAGCACTAGCATCTGTGAGACGTTATATTGAATATTAAGCTGGCTCTGGTAAGAGGTCATGTACCTTTTTGTTTGAAATCTGACACTGATATCTAAGGGTTGCTTCTAATAAGATTTTGTAATGAAACTGAGACTGTTGCAGTGGTTAGTGTCAGACTAGGATCTGGAGGGCCAGGGTTCAAATCCTATCTTTGCCGTGAAGCTTGCTGGATGACCTTGGGTTAGTCACTGTCACCCTAGTCTATACCATGGGATTGTTGTGAGGGTGAAAGGAGAACTATGCATGCCATCCTGAGCTCCCTGGAGAGAGAGAGAGATCAAAATGGAGTATACAGATTTTTGTATTGGGTTTGGCACCCAAGTAAAACTTGTATTACTGTTCTGCTTGAGAGCTAGTGCAGTTGTAATGATGAAATGTTGGCCCAGATCTGGGTAGACTGGTGATCAAATGCACACTCAGTCCATGAAGCTTGCTGGGTGATCTTTGAATAGTCCTTCTCTCTGCCTAGCTTACTCAAAGATAACATGAAAGGAAAAGAGACCTTTGTACACCACCCTGAGCTGCTTGGGAGGAATGATGGCAGAAAAATGTGTAGATAGTAGGGGTACCAGTCTCCAGGTGGGACCCGGGAATCCCCTGGAGTTGCAGCTCATCTCGTCTGGAGAAAATGTGTGCTTTGGAGAGTGGATTCTATGGCATTGTACCCCACTGAGGTACAATATCCTCCCCAAGCTCCATCCCCAAGCTTACAGGAGTATCCCACCCTGGAACTGGCAACCTTACTCCTCCATCCGCTGCCGGTGGCACCTGGCAACCCTAACTGTGTGTCCTTTAATTGTGGTTTTTTTATTTAAAGTACACGGAAGTAGCAAGTGAGTAAGTATTGGGCCTTTTTTCCTGTGTACTTTGAAAAGGACAGCTCCACTTGAGTGCAGTGTCTGTAACATGCATTAGTATTTGGGTGTCTGTAGCAGACTGGAAGGCCAGATAATGAAACTGAAGCTCAAATACTCTGGCCACCAAATGAGAAGGGAGCACTCACTGGAGAAGACCCTGATGCTGGGAAAGATTGAAGGTCAAAAAAGACGGGGACGGCAAAGGATGAGATGGTTAGACAGTGTTACCGATGCAACGAACGTGAAATTGAGCAAACTCTATAGGACGGTGGAAGACAGGAAGGCCTGGCATGATCTGGTCCATGGGGTCACAAAGAGACGGACTCGACTGTGCGACTGAACAATAACAAAAGCAGACTACATAAATGTTTGGGAGATGTGTACTGGCAGTTTTTCTTCACAGAGGGAATTTGAAATATGTTTCTGCTGCAGGTTACATAGTGGGCCACAGACAAACGCACCCTTTTATTGCATTTAATCTGTCCCTTGTGACTTCCATTACTTCCAGAAACTGTGCATCTAAAATGAGCAAATTTCCTGTTGGACTGGTGCCTAGCCCACAACAGTGATGCCAAAATGGGACCTCGGTTCCAATGGAAAGAACAAGGGAATGGAACCCACAGCTTCATCCAGACTAGACTATTGTAATTCACTTTACATTGGTCTCCCTTCAAAGTCAACTCAGAGACTCCAGTTGGTACAGAATGCCACAGATTTGGCTATTATTAGGAGCTAGGTGAAACGTGCATATTCCCATTCTACAGTCACTTCCCAGGCTGCCCATCAGATACTGGGTTCAGTTCAAGGAATCACATATAAAGCCCTTCATGACATTGAACACTAATAACTGCAGGACAGTTTCTCATCCTATGCTCCACCATGACAGCTTTGCTAATTTAAACAGGGTTTTCTCCAGGTGTCACCCTGCAACTCTGCAAAATTAAAAACTGCCTGCACATGTACGTTCTCTGTTGTGGCCCCCACATTGTGGAATGGCCTGCCTGAGGAGGTCAGGGAGGCTCCTACTCTCCTGGCATTCTGCAAACTATGCAAAACTGAATTATTCAGGAGGGCATTCTTACATAGGTTCAGAAAGATGCTTCAAAAAAGGGAACATAGGGTTCCCAGACCCCTGCTGGGGCAGGGCCCCCTTCCCTGGGCCCTGATCAGCTGGCTGGTGGGAGGACTTACTGGCAACAAAAGGAGGCCTTAAGCCAGTGTCACTAGCAATGTGGCAATGTTACTTCTGGTGTACACCGGAAGTAATGGCATCACATCACCAGGAATGTGGAGACATTTTGGTGTTTGGGCAAAAACTCTATGGTAAAAAGAGCTTCTACCATAGTGTTTTTGCTCAAATACCAGAGCATCCCCACATTGCTGGTGATGTGATGCCAACACTTCTATGCATGCAAGAAATGACATTGCTGGCAATGTAGGTCTAGGCCTCTGTTTGCTGCCAGTAAGCGCCTCCCCCCAGTTGCCTGGGGGCACCTGACAATCCCAAGGAAAGGGACTGTGGACTATACCACTGTGTATATGTAGAGACTATCTTTTGGTGTATGTATTATCCTACTGTGTAATTTTTGCATTGAACACATTATGTTAATACTTAAGGTTTGTTTCAGGTTCGTCTCGGATTTCTGCTTGGTTTCAGATTTTTGTAGTCCTAATTTTATATTCCATCCTATTGATTGCAGTGATTTACACTGTGCAATCCACCTTAAGTCTCAGTGAAAAAGGCAGACTGTAGATAACTTAAAAATAAAAAACCATAGACTGTATTTTTTGTTGCTCACAGATGTTTTCTTCTTTTCATACTGCAGATAATGTATATTCAGAAGAAGAGGAGGTAAGATGTTGTGCTGGGAGAAAAATCACATGTGGCTGAAAATAGAGAGTTCTGGTCACATGGCTTTTCAGAACTAACTTCATTGGTAGAGAATAGCTTTTGAGTCATCATAAGAACACAGGAGTTTTTGTAGGCTGTTGTCAGCTGTATACTTAGGCTGTTACGCCTGTGTGTATGCTTTGTGCTGTCCATTAGGTAATCTGAGGCAGAATAATAGGAATTATTGGGGTGGGGGGCAGGAACAGGACATTGTTCACATGGGTATGCATGAGCAGACAGGCTAGTTAGTAAACACCGTATTTACTTGAAAGGAAGACAGCCCTGAAGTAAGACAATCCCCCCAAGAAATGTATACACAAGACTTGTTATTACTGTACATTAGGGATGGGCACGAACTGATTTACAAACGAGGGGCTTGGGAGACCGGTTCATCCCATGAACCCACCCACGAACCTCCATGTTTTACAGGCCTTCAGACCTCACTCTTGGAGCTCAGCTGGGCAAACCCGACCTGGACATGGGCTCTAAAGGCATTTAAATGCCTTTGGAGCTTACATGGGTTGGGGTGGTGGGCTCAGATGGCTCACTCGGGTTGGCTGTGGTGGGCTCCAAGGGCATTTAAATGCCTTCAGCGCTCATTTCCAGGTGGGGGGCCCAATGAACTTCCAAAGCATGAACCGGTTTGTGTAATGGAGAACTTTGTGGAAGTTTGTGGTTTGTGAAAAACCCCGAAGCACAAACCTCCATTTTTTTCAGTTCATGCCCATCCCTAGTGTACATAATTAATTTGTGTGCACATTTAACATAGCTCCCTTACATTTGTCCTGTAAACCAGAGCTCTAGTTTGGAATTCTGATTTTTCAGGGCAAGTATAAACTAGTTGGGATGAAACTAAAAATAACAAATTATCTTGGCCAGATATGGGGAAGGGAGAAGCAGAAAGGTTTTTCAAGGCTCATGCACATACCAGAAGGTAATGGTTTGCTGTTATCTGAACCAGGCCAGTTTGTGTGGACACTTGTGATGGCTGGGAGATAAACTGTGCTATCTGATCCATTGGGGGTAGAAATAAGAAAGTCTGAACATTCTGTGGTTAGTTCATGATAGCTAAAAGATCAAAGCCCTGGCAGGAGTCCTTTGTGGATAAACTTGGACTTTAGTGTGTCTCTATATGTCATTTATATGCAGTACATGTAATGAAATTTAAGCAACGTCTTGAGTAGAAAACAAAAAGTAGCAGGAGGTTCCAGGGTGAAGACTGGAAAGTGCAGAAGGACTTGCTATCAGAGCCATCAGAAAGATCTTTGCTTTACAGCTATTGAATATTGGTGGAATCTTGCAAATTCACTCCACTGATGGATATAGTTCTCTAGTCTGATAGCTGACAGAGTATTGAGTCTTTAAATAAGTTACCTATTTAAATAAGTTACCTAAAGATGGGTGCAATTATATGCAAAATATGATTGTATTAATCCATCCCAAGAGACTTCCAATATCCTGTGAGAATCTACAACATATTTCTTTTGTAGTGGAAGCTTTGTACCACAGTGTTAAGGCTGATGGGCTTTGAAACAGCTGCATTATTGGAAAATGTTATCTGCTGAATGTTATTGAAAAAATGTTATTTGTTAAATAATAATAATAGAGATTACTTCATGGTACAGTTCAGCTCCAGGTTGAGACATCTGAGATTGTCTTAGAGAAGTGGCTTCCATTTACAAGAAGGCAAACCTAGTTTGTAACCTAAAAACAGCTGTGTGTTAGAAGGGTGTCACATCTGTCATTCTGTCTCTCAGATATGACCGGCTACGTCATCACTTGCTGCCAATGTATAGCTATGATCCTGCGGAGGAATTGCATGAAGCAGAACAAGAGCTCCTGGTGGATCCAGAGGACACAAAGGTGAGCTTTCCTGGGACCTGTTCCCCATTGTACAAATCAAAGCCTGGGAGCAATGCTCCCTCTAAGCTGTGGAGTCTTGTGAACAAAAATGTTACTTTGTGAGCTACTGACATTAAAGTTGTGGGCAGGTGATTTGGCTACTGCATAAATTAGTTTGTTCTGGAGCCATCCTTCCTGAGCTAAGACAAAAATGTGTGAGTCGGAGGCTAAAAAACTTGTGAGCTAGCTCACACTAACTCAGCTGAGGGGGAACACTACCTGGGAGGCATCTTTTGTATCCCTTGACTTAAGTGTGAAAGGTCCAAGGAGAGGAACAAACATGGGACAAAGCCTTTAAACTATCTCTGCTTCGTTTGCTCACTTTGGCAGTTGTTTGTGTCCAGCTATATTAAGCGAGAAATATGTAGGCTTGGATTCACCCCCCCCCCCCAATTAGGTTTGCACAGGGCTTTTTTGGTAGAAAAAGTCCAACAGGAACTCATTAGCATAATAGGCCACACCCAGCAGCAGAAACTCATTAGCATATTAGGCCACACCCCTGACTGCACCACTCCCATGTTACCAGAAGTGTGGTCATCCAGCCACACCCACCTTTTGCTTCTTATTCTGTTTACTTTGTTTGCTGTCAAAACCCAGGACCTTTTTTTGTTGCAGGAACTCCTTTGCATGTTAGGCCACACACCCCTAATATAGCCAATTCTAATGAGTTCCTGCTGTTGGGTGTGGCCTATTATGCTAATGAGTTCCTGCTGGGCGTGGCCAACTTGGGAGTCAGACGAAACTCCGTTCCTGTGCGTTCCTGCCCAAAAATAGCCCTGGGTTTGCAGTAAGTCCTACCGCATAGCTTTGTGCTACATTTGCTGAAGACAGGACTTCAAAATCTGATCAAAGGACCATCTAGACAAAACATGGCTGATTTCCTTGGTCCACAGGGGCCAGACCCTACCTTTCCATGCTGTTCATGTCAGATTATACTCAGCCATGCTTGGTCCAGTGAACAGGAGAGGCTGATACGAATTGAAATACCTTTGAGCTGGATCCTGCAGTATGTTTCTGTGTTTCTCCTGACAGAAGTATTTCAGTGGAGCATTACTTTCTTGCCTCCTCCTTGCTGCTGCTGGTTCCTGGGGGGTCCCCTTTCTCCCAGGAGCAGTATTTTGGGAAGAATTTGGAGCTATAGAAGGGCTTGCAAGATGATCATGCTGTGCTGACAGAAATCTTTCCATCGGCGGAAAATCTGCATGGGATTCAAGCCCTTGTCTTCCTCCTCTGACCAGTTTCAGCGAGTGTTTGCTGGTCTGTTCCCTCTACTCCTGACAACTCTTATGTGCACTCTCAAAGCCCAGGGCAATTGAACTGTGGAAGAGGAAGCCAAGGCACTTCCATCATCATTACAGAAGAAGCCCAGAAAACTAGAGCATATGCTGCCCACAAGCTGATCAGTCTATGCATGTTGTGCCTGGTTCCACTACACTCTGTGTTGACCGCATTTAATCAATAATAGCTGACCCAGGGCTGCTTCCACATGGAGGTATTTTGCTCCATGACATGCTCCAGCTGTCCTTGCCCAAACTAAATATTTTTCCTCCACCATCTTTTTTCTTTTTTTGTATGTGCATGTGTGTGAGTGTGCATGCACCTGGAAGTCATGGTAACCTCTGGTGACTGACCCTTACTGGGGGCCTGAAGGATATTCAGAGAGGTGGCTGAATAAAGTCTGCCCTGCCTCACTGTCTCTGGTATTCCAAGGAGGTCTCCCATCCAAGTACTTGCCAGAGTTGACCCTGCTTAGCTTCCAAGATTAGGCTTGCCTTGGGCTATCCATGTCAGGGCTTTCTCCACCATCACAATGTTATAGCCTTTGCCACCATATTATGAATGCTTCCATCCATTCCATCCTCAGTAAGTTTGAGGAAGTATAGCAGCACTGGGAAGCAAAAGGTGAATTTCTTTGTTGGTGAGTTTTACTGATGATGTGGAGGGCAGTGACCAGCACAGAGATTAGCACAGTTCCTGTGTGGCTTTTGTTTGCCAGGTATGGTGTCCCTTGCAAAGGCCTCTCTGCCTGGAAGTGTCCTAAGTTCTGCTCTGTTCCTGTATATGGTTACAAAAGTAGCATAAGGAAGCTTACAGTAAAATACAACCATTATTTTTTTCTCCTTACCTGGAGTGCAAGAAATGTGCCGTTGAAAATGGAGGGGAGGGCAGTTTTCAGAAATTTGAGAACCATCGTGTGAACCCACTGCAATCTCATAGATGACTGCAGCTATCCAGTACTTAGTTGTCATGTAAGGAGTGTGATCAAGGCAAACTGATATTGCTGATGGATCACATGAAGGTTGGTTGAAACGTGGGTAACTGTGTTTGGGGATTACGTTAGCAAAGAAACATAAATGTGCATAGCTTTTATTGGTGTAATCAATGTATGTGCTGCATTAATTAACAGTGAGCCTGATTCAAGTGACTCCTACTGGACTTTTAAACTCCGAAACGAGGGGCCTAGTCTGCCTTTTTTGAGGATTATGTAGTAGACAGTGACTTTTAAAAACAACAACAACAACACACAAACATGCTTTATGCAACAGCAGTTTTTTAAAAACTATGCTAATCTACCCCAGAAAACAAGCACCACAAGACAGGCAGCAGCTTCTGCTTGAAAGGTTTGGTTTTCCCCCTCCTGCTGTTAGGACTCAGATCAGCTGACTGAATCAAAATGGAGCTGGAAGAAAAATACTGGCCTTGATGGTTATGGTAAATGACAGTGTATGTTTGTTGCATGCTACAGGTGATGCGAGGATGGGGAGGATACCAGCCCTGCCGGGCTGCACTGACAGATGTGAAGGCTTAATGCAACTTAAAGAGTTCAACAAGAAGGCTTGGGGAAGATGATCTTGCCCATCTGGTATGCATGTCAAATCGAAGTGCTCCTGTTGACTCTGAACCCTCTGCATTTGTTTCCCACTTCACTACTGTATCCCCTTTGCCTTGGCTCCTGGTGAAAGAAGGCAAGTGAGTGCCTGCTCTGCTGGGTTCCAACACAGGTGCCACAGAGCACTTCGCAAACAGAGAGCAGCCTAGGAAGCTGGAGTCTTGCATGCTTGGGTTTGGAATGGTTTTACAAGGCACGAGAACACCTCCTCTTGGTTTGCATTTGGGATGGATGCAGGGTAGATGCTGCCACTTCAGGGAGAATACCTCTGAATGGCTCTTATAGTAAGGGCTGTAACTCCTCAAACGCTCAGCTCCCCCCCAATGCAAAAGATACAGCTGCAAAGACAGTGTAATGCATTTGCTAGTTGCCCCTGCACCTCATCTTGCTGCCTACTTACCTATGCTCATAATGAGCGTTATCACTTAGCTGTTGGGTTCCCATGATGTGCCCCTTTGTGGATCCAGGGAAAGCAAAGACAAATAGTGAGATTGCCAGTTCAAGCACATGGGTGAAGCAGTCTAATGTCCTTTTTCCCTGTGATGCAGATCAGTGGGGGTGGTGGGTGAGGGCCAAGATGTACATGCAGTGAGCATTGAACACATGCCCAGCTGCCAGAAGGGGCCTTAAGGTATTTGTGAGGAGGAGTTTCCTCCAGCAAGGTGCTTCTTTCTATGATGTTGACTTTTGTATTTGATGGGAACTTGCCTGTACATTTTGTAAATAAAATAAGCCATGAACAGGAACAGCTTTGGTGAAAGCTCAAGTTCTTTTACGTATAATGTCTGCCTTTTGTGAGTTCAGCTGGCTACACTTAACCCAGTTGTGGCATACTGAAGAAATGTAGAGCCATTTTGGCCTTGCTGAAGAATAATGGCTCCTTGGTTGGGGCAGGAGCTGCTGGACTAGTGATTTAGGCAAAAACACATGTTGGATCTGTTTGGTTTGCCTTTGGCTCAGCTGGGGCTTTTTTTTTTCTGGGGGAATGCACTGGAATGGAGTTCTAGAACCTCTTCAACAAAATTCATTTAAAATGTTTAGAAGTTCATGAGTTTTCAGTATACAGATTGATGAAAATTTCATTTCCCTCTTAAGAGTTCCAGCACCTCTTAAAAAAAAGGAAAAAGGCCCAGGGCTCACCTACTTCTCTTCCTAATGTGAAAAAGCTTCTCATAGGATCCTACAATACCTGACTGATTCATTGTTTGTTCTAGGTAATGGCTGACTGCCATAAAACAAAGACCTGGATGTGGAAATAAGATGACTTTGATTTGCATGCCTCAAACAGATTACTGAGGAAATACTCATAAGCCAGGCTGCAGCAGTTGCCTCTTTGCTTTGCTGGAGAACACAGAAGACTAATACATTTAAACCAATGTAGCAGATATGTAGGTTGAGTTCAGCTGGGCTGAGGTCATTACACAGGGAAGTAATGATCTCACTCTGTTGGGCGAGCTGATCATAATTCAACTGGTTTTCTAGAATACAATGGCTTTTTTTGTCTAAGCGGCCCTACCTCTACTTTTGTGCTCTACAGGCTGGCATTTCAGGCAGGATTAAACACTACTGAATAGGCTGTCCAGGCCTTCAGCAGCCTATCATTGGTTCAGCTGCTCTGTACCAGCCACATGTACACCCCAAAGCATGGGACCACCCAGAGGAAACCCATGGCTTGCAAAGATTTCTTTCTTTTTTTTTTAAAGGGGAATCTCCAAAATGGTACCCATGCCATCTTTACCTGTTTATAAACTTGACATGCCCATCTGTATTTTTACACAGTGCTACAGCCTCAGTGCTGTGATTTTGTATCAAACATCTTTACCTGCAAAGCTGCAGGAAGAAGTTCAAGTCCTGTAGTAATTCAAGGTGACATGTGAGGGGTGCCTACAAGCAAGAGCGGGCATGGAAGAGTAGTTGAAGTTGGATTGTCCCCCCCCCCCTTGCTGTGCTGGTAAATACACAGGATGAGAGGCAGCAGGAAAACAAGATTTCTCCTTCAGCCTGTGAGATCTTGTCTAACAGGGCAGGATAACTAACCTTTAACAATATGCCCAGAGCAAAGAGGTCAAGCCTGCCTTGCCAAGCATGCTGTTGTGTACATGTAGCTAAATCGCAGCTTTCTATTTAGTTACAATACAAACTGAAGGATTATATCTCATTATTGGTACATAATGATACCCTGAAAAAACCACCAAGCAGACATTTTGGCTTTAGCCAGTTCATTCACATTTATACCCTACCTTGCTCCCCAGTGGGGATCTAAAGCAGCATATATTTCCTTATCTTCACAAATAGCCCTCTGTGAGGTAGGCTGAGTATGTATGACTGGCCTATACCCAGCAAAGTATACATAGTAGAGCATGAATTTGAACCTGGATCTCCCAGATCCTAGTCTGACTCGGCCCTACTGGTTCCACAAGCGACATCATTTAGGCCTTCATGTATTTGTCACAAATCAGTGCGCGTGACTTGATTCTTACTCTTCCTTGCTGACAGGTCAGGCTCCACTGAGCTAGCCGAAAGAGTCTAAAGCTATCTGTTGGTCTTTCTCCATTTTGTTATTACACAGAATAGAGTCATAGGAAAATGTCAGGATAGGTTCCTTAACTAGTAGCCACTTTTCTTAAAATGAAGTATTAAAAATATCCACAGGTGACTACCAGGCTTTTTTGTGGCACTGTATCCTACTTCCTCTCCCAGTAAAGGTATAGAAGTGAAAACAGGCCAGCCAATTTTTGTCTTTCATCCTGTGTGGAATCCAGTGGCACAGGCTGAAGAAGTGATCTTGTTCCCTCTAGTGGACTGTCAGGGAAACCACAAGGCACACTAACTTGACTATCCTGTATCAGAGGACTCTGCACCATTTAGGGTGGCACAGTTTCCAGCATTCAGGCTTCTTCACCTTGAATACCAAGATGGAAAAGGAAACCATAGCAACTGCATCTTATGTCACAGTGATGCAACAGCAAAAAGAGATGCCAGCTCAGATGTCTTCTGTGAAACTATTGAAGACACTGGAACCAGAGGTTGACTCCTGCAGTTAGTTGTTAAGTCTGCAATTGGTCTTCTATGCCACTTCGAGGCAAAGGAGGATGCCAACACTTTTGGGTGGGATCAGAGTGTTGTAAAACTGAATTATTTATGGGATGGACATCCATATCTTTTAAAAATCTAGACTTCTTTAAATCTAGATTTTTGATTTAATTACTTTTTCTAGTTTCAATAGGAACAGGTTCTCACCTTCCTTATTTAAAGGAGCTCAGGAACAAGCACACACAAAACCCTGTATGGATTTGACAATCCAGACCATGTTGGAAACAAGTAAAAACAATCACTAACCCCACTACCGTCAAGCCATACAAGCACAGCTCCCAAAGTGTTTGTCACGTCCATCCTTTCAGAGGCTGGCAAACCCAGTAAGCTTCCATAGGCAGTCCATAATACTAGCCAGGGTAGTTAATTTCAGACTGCCACCCAGAAAACAGTAATAATTTTAGCAGTGACTGATGTCAAATCTTGATATCATATGAAAAGATCACTAGGACTTAGCCATTTTCTAGAGCTAATTTAAAGGGCTGGTTTTGGCCTCAATATATTGGTACCTACTTTACCTGCTTCGAACACATATAAAGACTTTCGATTTATACCTATCAAGCAAGCAGTGGCATTCTGGACCACTTCCAAGGACAGCCCTTCCCCTAGTCTAGAAATCACTGAGGCTAGCCACCTATGCTCAGTGCTAGAATATGGAGATAATTAGTTGGGGAAGGAAGAAGCAACTGTGACCCAGAGCACCTGTCTGGAAATCCATGCCCAAGGCTGGGGTCAGTAGCATGTCTAAACCATGAACCTATCAGGGAGACTGTGACTCATAACAAGCATTTCCCTGCCCCAGCATATACACATCTTCAGTCATCAACTCTGTCTTGATTGGATTGAGTTTAAACACATTGGCCTTTACCTACTTCCTTATGATTTCCGACCCTGATGTGGGGATGCTATCCTCTCACTTGGATCTGATGAAGAAAAATAGAACTTTAATATACACTGTGCCACATGCATTCTGCAAGCACAGATGTTCAGTATGAAGGAAAGGATTTTTTTTTAGCATGGTTAGACATTCTGCCTCATGCCTTTTGGGACCGAGCTCACCCATTTGGCTTGCTGTGTGCCTACGGGGAGGGCGGGATAAAAATCTAAATAATAAATAAATAAATAAACCTATAAGCTGCAGTCTCTCTGAATGCAGCATAGAAGTAATATTCCCAAGTGCTCCTTCAACAAACAAAGGGAAGGCTTGAAATATCAATGAAGTATTTTATTCAAGTAAACTGAAAATATGAAGGAAAGAAGGCTTTATAGCACGGACCAGAGATTCACACAAGAGCCTACAAAGCACTGGACACCCCCCACCCTTTCCTCACTCTCGTTTGTTCTTACACAGTTGCCTTCCCCTGGTCATATTACTGACAAACTACTTCTGGATCCATGACCTCAGCCTTCCTTTGTAACCCATAGCCCTTACATAGCTAAAAAGTCCAAATTTAAGAGGCAGAAAGAAGAGCAGTCCTTCTCACCAATACACATTGATTGTAACATCTGAATCAAACCAACAGCTAGTTAATGTAAAAACAATTACATTTGTTTTCATACCAACATACTCATGCTCATCCTCAAATCTGAAAGGATTTGTTCAGGCACTACGCAAGTCATGCTATCCCGGATTAGAAAGAGATCGAACCAATCTGAGCAAGAGGATCTCTGCTGCACATTTCTAGGATATTTGAACAAAAATACTAGAAGAGCCATTGGTCTTGGCAGATGGAGGACCACTTTGTCCAGCAATCATTAAGAGTTATACAGCAGTTTAAGAGAAAGACTCCTAATGTTTAGAAGTTAGGATTGGATGGAAAGGCTCCCCTCTCGCTCCCTACCAAAGATGGTGTTGAGGACTGGGCTGCAAATGAGTATCAGCTTTTTGAAGGAACTGGTTTAAAAAGAAGAAGAAGAAGAGATTGGATTTATACCCCGTCCTTCACAGCCAGTGTTCCCTCTAAGCTGAGTTAGTGTGAGCGAGCTCACAGTTTTTTAGCCTCCAGCTCACACATTTTTGTCTTAGCTCAGGAAGGATGGCTCAAGAGCAAACTAATTTTATGCAGCAGCCAAACTACCTGCTCACAAATTTAATGCCAGTAGCTCACAAAGTAGAATTTCTGCTCACAGGACTCCACAGCTTAGAGGGAACATTGTTCACAACCCAAAGGAGTCTCAGAGCGGTTTACAAACTCCTTTCTCTTCCCCTCCCCACAACAGACACCCTGTGAGGTAGGTGGGGCTGAGAGAGCTCCTGACAGAAACTGCTCTTTTTCAAGAACAGCTCTTATCAGAGCTACGGCTTTTCCAAGGTCATCCAGCCAGGTGCAAGTGGAGGAGTGGGGAATCAAACCCGGTTCTCCCAGATTAGAGTCCACGCGCTTAACCACTACACCAAACTGGCTCTCGAGTGAACGTGTGTCGGGTACTTAAAATTACTAAGCACTGGGACTGGGGTTACTCCTGAGGCTCTAATTTAGTGTAAATTAAACTGGGAGCAATCAGCACAGAGATGGACACAACCCTTTGTGCGGCCTGAGGCTGTTAAGCATACCTACTGTTCTACCCAGAAGTACTTTTAAATGCAAGAGATCATGAAAAATCTACCAGATTTGGGTGTCTTTCTTGAGCATAGGGCCTACAGG